AGATGGCACTCTTTTAAAACAAATTTAGGCGGCCCCTGCGCACAGCGGGCTGGAAGAGAGTCCTAGTTAATACAGATCTCTGGGGGAGGGGGGTGGCAGAGAAGGGCTGGGTAGTGAACAGTGGTCCATGGGGCAAATGGGACTTAACATTCAGCATTTATCGAGGTTGCTGGTTGTGATTTTCTTTACCCTTTCGCCATGCTGTCTGCCAGGGACTGGATGCTTGTCCCCATAAAATTCTTGTTGAAATTCTAACCCTTATGTTGATGACATTAGGAGGCGGGGCCTTTGGGAGGTGCGTGGGTCAGGAGGGTGGAGCCCTCAGGAATGGGATTAGTATTCTTACAAAGGAAGCCTCAGAGACTCCCTCCTACCATAAAGGGACACAGTGAAAAGGCATCGTCTGTGTACCAGAAAGTGGGCTCTTACCGGACACCAAATCTGCTGGAGACTTGATCTTGGACTTCCAGCCTCCAGAACTGTGAGAAATAAATTTCTGCTGTAGACAAGCCACCCAGTTTACGGTGTTTTGTTGACAGCCCAAATGGACTAGGACTCCATCTTGTTATTTTGTACTTTCTTTCTCGGCCTGATGCAGTGTTCTCACTCAGTTGCCACACAGTGACGCTTATGGAGGCTTAAGGCAGATCCTAGAAACTTCCCCTTAAATCTCATGTCCCCCCAGAACACTTCCCCTGCAGTCATATATCTTCTTTTTCTGTCACAGCATAGACCAGATTCACAGTGAACAAGTTCCTTGGCTTCTACACTAGACTTTGTGCTCTACAAGGTGGGTTCTGTCTCATTCACTGCTGAATCCCAGCTCGGTGCCTACCAACACATAGTAGGTGCCCAGTAAGCGTGTGTTGAGTGACTGTCTGTTCCTCCGATGTCTCAGCCGGCCCCTTCAGGTTAACAGACATACTTGACACTTTCCCCACCACCTTGGTATAAAGCAGACAGCAGCTTCATAGTTTAAAAAATCCATCCAATGTTGATGTCCTGTTTACTAAAATTACACTGTAGTCAGCGCAGATGGAATGCTGACGGAAGAGCTGAGTTCTATCTCACTGCGAGGATGTGATTTTTCCAATAAAGTTTGGCACTGTTCTTGTCAATCACAGCATTGACAGGGCTGGAGATAAGCATTGCCCTGGGTGGGCTGAGGGAAGGGTTAGCTCTTGAGGGAGATTTTTGGTCTAAGAGGGACTCGGGAGGAGTTCTTTTCCCCCTTGTCTTTTTGCTCTTCCAAACCCAGCCTCTCTTCCCTGTTCTAAATAGTTTTAGAGAATGTTGCTGGTCTTGGTACCATTTCGCAGAAAATCAAAGGCATCCTAAAACAATCTGTCATTTCAGTGAAGTAAAACCGACCCTTGTCTTACTTATCAGAGACTTCAGAAAAATTTTGACAATTGTGAGCAAAGCCTCAACATGTTTTCATCAGTTAACAATCTTTTAAGGCACTTTGAATATAGATACTTCTGAGAGAGGCAGGTATTGCCCAGGTCAGCCACAATCCCCACTGTTCCCTAAGGCATCATACCTACTGCTGTTCATTTTCAGCTGCCTCACTCCTGAGAACATTCGATTTGGGACTCCTGCTCATAAGTTCACATCCCCCCACCTTGATCTGTTAGCAACATGTTGAAGGGGCTTCTTCATTGAGATAGAGATCGAAGCATTTCTGGAGTTTCTTCCAATTTTAGTTTTTTCTTCCACCTAACTAGTACAGAAGTACAACCTTCTAAAAGCAGTTCCCTTATCTAACAGGGATAGGCTCATGGAGATAGCTCCATTCTATCTATAAAACCAAAGCTCAAGTTCAAGTTTCATACATGACAAAGGGCAACTGTATTCTCCTGGGGAGTAAGTGGATACTGTGGGTGCCTCTCCCTGGATCCCGCTGCTACTGGGAATACAGGCTGATCTCAGTTCACTGCAGTTCCTCACTAGGAATGGTCCTTGGACCTGCCTCACTCAACCCAAGGCAACACCAGCTCTCAGAGGGCAGCTAAGGAAGGGATAGAGGCCCGATCCCTTGTTTCAGTGGGAATCAATTCTGAAGGGCCATCCCAGCTCCCCCCTTAGGATCTGCTGAGGCCTCAGCTGCAATTGCTTAGTAGGTCAACTCCTGCCCACTCTTGCCTTGCTCACCCCCCTGAGCTGTATTTCCTGAGAGCTGTCCCCAATAGTTTCTGCCCCTATTCTCCAATCTTGTTTGTTTCCAGGGAATCCAGTCTAAGAAAAGGAATGAACCAAGACAGAGGGTGACTTTGCCTCTGCCATACCAGTAGAGGCCGAAATGTTACCAGAGCGCTGGCGACAAATGTATAAATCCCATAATGATGCCCTGAAACAAATCTTAGAAGTCATCGGGTGCAACCCACCCTCTTCCAGATGGGGAGACTGAAACAGAGAGCCACAGTGATCGGCTCAAGGCATCAGAAGCTCCTTAGGTGAGAAAGCTGCTATTAGACTCCACACTGATTGTGACCCTGGCAGGAACACAGTATTCTAGCATTTGATCAGCTCCCAGGAAACCCTGACAGAACGTGAAAGTCAAAGGGAACTGTGAGAGTTTGGGAGTCAGTACGAGGTAGCCTCATAAGCCCATCCCTCGCTGACTAAAAAAAGGAGCCAGGTCTGTGTCAGGGATGGTAGTGCACTTTATTAACAAACAAAACAGTATCATATGGGCAAAACCATTACTTCAACGGCAAAACACACACATATGCATACTCCCACATGTAGCACTGGGGCACATTTCAGACAGAACATTAGGCACCAAGTTCACAATCAAACGAAATAGAGTTCACAATCCTTCTCTATTTTCTCTTCAGTGCGGTTCAAGAACTTCTTTAACAGTTGTCACAAAAAGGTTACCTTTTTAAGTTTAATTCTCGACCTTACTGTGGAGTGAGGCCCACGCAGCCTTCAGGACTTTGAAGCAGATGCCAGGCTCTATCACCTGCTTAATCTGCCTCTAGTTTCTTGGGGTGGGAAGAAAGACCTATAGGATCTTGGTGGTGGACAAATAAAATGGTAGGAGTTCTCAGCTCTGATTTCGCATCTCAGCACACCTGGAATCGCATTCATTTTTAAACTCGATCTACAGTTTAATCAACAGTTTAATGGGGCTGATCTCATTTGAAAGGAGGGTAAATTACGTACTCAGGAGTCCTTCAGCATTAAACACAGATAATGTTAACAACCTCCTTACTGTTAAAACTGCTACCAGTTAAGAAGTTGAAGTCAGCATTTCCCAAAAGGTGTGTCAGAACAAAGTTAATCAGTAAGTGAACAGAAACAACTACAAAGGATCAGGGCTGTGATTTCTCCGAGCAGTTTGATATAAGATGCACCAAATCCTTATGGACTGGAGCATATCCAAGATATTACCCAAAGTCCTAGTTAGCCAAAACACTTTTCAATTACAAAGTAGAGTGGCGGAAAAATCCTGCTCTTTGCTCTTAGGATAGGCAAAACTGGAAACCTTAAGCCCTCATTATCAGGGTCCAGAGACTTGTGAATTAATAAGGTTAATTATGTAATAAACTTGGGTTGATTTTCCCTGGCAATCTTTAATTCTCATTCAGTAGAAGATAGGAGATTAGGTTAAGAGGTATTAGGAGATAATAAGGGTAGGAAAATCCTGAAAATGGGAAGAGCAGTATGAGAGAAGAAGCAGTAGATTCATCAGCTATAAAACAATCATGTGACATTCAGTAGAGGAGCAAACACAATGGTATCACTCTCTTATAAAAGTATAAAATGATCAAGACACATAAGGATTGGCCTGATTAATTTAAAAAGGTAAACTGGAATGAAGCTTATTGAATAATGTGTGGAAGTATACCCAGCAACATTTTTATGTAAAATTTTTGGTCCACAAAAGAGTAAACTTTGGCTATCTAGAAACTTCTTCTAAAATGAAATGCCTCATTCATCAATGATATGGGATAAGGTGAACTCTGTATCCACCTGTGGACCCAAGTCCACTGAGCCTTGTCAACTGCTTTCTTTGATCACATTGGTGTTGACTTTTTCCCCTAGATGCTTATATGTAGAACAGTAGTCTTTTATGGCTGAAACCTCTGGAGGGGGCTTTAAGAAATCTGAGTTTTTTAAATGGTGAAGGCCAGAAAGAGGTGGGCACTGTTCTGGGTGCACATTACTCCTAAAATAGAGAACTCAGTCTTCATATTAAAACCACTCAATTTCATGTCTGTTATAAACTTAATAACTAAAGTCGGTGAGATTATAATGTAAAGCCCCAGTTTCCTTTCTCTATTTGATAGTCTCAACAAATAGCAATCAGAATTTATCATGTGTATTTCCGTTCCTGTTTGAGAGAGATCAGCATGTTAATATTTACTCAAAGGTAACTCCGTCATTCAAGTTAACGGATCTGCTTAATTCTACTGTGGTCCTAGGAAAAAAGAAAAAAAAATACACCACTAGGGGCCTTCAGACAGCCAGGGTCTACCTGAAAAAACGAAAATACTTTTTTGTAATCGGCAGAGGAGGTTATCGTGCTGTCTAGCCATCTTCCAAGAGGAAGAGAAAATGCCTACTGCAGTCAGTCTCCTGCAGCGCTCACCAGGAGGCCTCCTGGGGGACAGTCCCACCAGTAGTCTGCTCTGCTCTCCTGGGGAGCTACACACAAGTCACAGCAAGTCACCTGAAACATCAGACTAGATGTCTAGAAACTTCACAGGAAGAAGTGGCCAGGACAACCCATACGATGTCCCTCAATGGTCTACACCTCCATTGTTTTCATTTCTCTTTCACTGCCTCCTCCAAAGGGGGAGCTGCTCAACCCCAGGCTCAGCCCCACCTCTTGGCTCTGGACCCACGCTTCCCCATTTCCCAAGGAGTGAAAAGGATGGTCACAGGCTGGGTCGCCTCCTATTCAACCTCTACAAAGAGAAAGCGAACCGCTTCATTTCTGCAATTATTCAGCGTTTCATGTTATAAAAGAACAAAACAGGACACAGAAATTGTTTCTCATCAGCATTTCAATCACATATCTTGAAATTAGGGAGCTGGTCACAAGGTTTTATTCTACCAGCCAACACAAGTTAGTTGACACAAGGCAAAGAATGTGATGGAGCTCTGATCTTACTGAAATTAACGAGGTGATTCTTTGGGTGGTTTTTACGTTGACACCAACTGAGACTAAACTTATGGGTGAAAACCAGTGCATTTAAAGATGGTCCAATGATACGGCCTTTGCCAACATTTTGCTTTTGATGATGCTGGGAAAAGAGTAAGCAGAAAGTGTGAGGCCGAAACCTCAAGATCGTGTCAGCAGCCTGAATTTGTACGCCACAATCCATAGGGCGGTGACTGATGTGGAGAAGCCAATGATCTTCAGCAGGCCTGCCACGGAAGGGAGATTCCTCTCCCAGAAGGTGTGGGTGATCTCCATAGCTGGAACATCCTAGATGGATGAGTAGACAGCGTTAGCAGAGCGATTCTCGTTCGCCTGGACAAGGGCAGGCAGAACATATCCACCAGGCCAGCACGCGGACATACGCCCGACAGCGGCATCTACAATGACCTTAAGAGCTAGAAGATGAGAGTCAAGAGCTTTACATTCGATCACTGGCCCATGGAGAGGAAGCCGCGAAACTCACCTTTGATTCAGGTTCCTGGACTCTTATGTCTTTTTTGGCCACCTTCCCCAAAGCATTCAAGACCTACAAGAAAGTGACCATGGTGTTATGAAGTGAGCTTCTAAAGTCCCCACGGACTTGGCCGCACGCGCTATCAAGGAGCACCCCCAGGAGCGGAGGGAGTGGCAGAGAAGTGGATGTGCACACTTATCTGTGTCAAGAGCTGGAAAGGCCCGATGCCAAAACCACCACCGGCCTCAGGCAAGACAGTGACGTCCCCCCTGCCTTACCTCTCTAGCTGCCCGTTCACCGGCCTCTACTGCCCCTTCCATGTAACCGCTCCAGTGTGTGGCTGTCTCTGTGCCAGCAAAGTAAATCCTGCCAACCGGTTGGCGAATGACCCTATGAGAGAACAAAGAGGTCATGTACAGTTACCTGGGAAGGCACAGAAGGTCACTGAGCCCACTGCTGCCCTCATTTACCCCAGATAAGACCGCGCAACTCAGATCATTTCCAAAACTCCTGTGTGGCTCAGCCAAAGGTGAAAGGCCCCTCCCTGTTCCCTGGGCCTGTGCCCAGGGATGTGAACTTTCAAGCCAGAGAGAATCGGGCTGTCAGATCATTAGTCACTAACGGTGACACTGGCCTTTTCCTAGCCAGCTAGGATCAGAAGACAAGAACACACATGAAATCTATAATCAGATTTCTTGGCTGTAGGTTTCCTGTTCGCGGTCCATTCTACTCCCGACACCATCTTTCCAAAGGAGTGCAGTCTTCACGAGAGGGGATCTGGCAGCAGACCCGAGCCAAGCGGGCACTCCCAGGGTATCAGGAGGAACCACAGTGGTGAATGGGAAGACAGGGAGAGGAACTGATTTCCAGCAAAGGACAGACCCGAGGGATTAGATGTCTGTCTGTCTCAAAATAACCACGTCTATACAGTTAGCTTTTGTGAATTTATGTGGAGACTGGCTGAGGACAGGGAAATGGGCCCTCCCTTCCAAAGAGGTCTTGGAAAAGAAAGCCACAGAAGGACTGGGCTGAATGGGCAAGTGTCTACTCCTAGCTCATCAGCTTTGAAACCGACCACGTCCGCAACCATTCTCATCCACTCTCCCTAGTGGCACGCCCTGTACCCCGCAAGGCCTTCTCGCCTTTTTCCAATTCAGAAATCTCTGGTTTCATCTGTCCTTGATTCTAGTTTCCACTTCTGGGCTTCTACTCTGCCTTCCGAACTATTCCAGTTCATCAATCCCATTATCACTAACAAAAAGACTATTTGATTCAATATATTAAAAACAAAGAAAAATCTTAGTGAACAAGTCCCTCTTTCTCTGTGGATACACGTGAGCTGGAGGTAACGTTCTAGCTCAGCTCCCCTGGGAACCTGATGGAAGGTAGCCTGCCACGGACGTTACCCAGTGACACGCTTATGCCCAAACTACTCTCCCCCTGCCCCTTACTTGGATAATGGCATGGGGGCTGGGAAGGCTGTCAGGAGTTGCAGACATCCAGCAGGAAGCTCTCTCTTTGGGCTTCCCCGAATCCGTGCAGAGATCCCCTCCTCACAGGTTAGCTGTCCACGGAAGGGACAGCTCTGCCAATGACGAGTGGCTGCAGTGAGATGTCCGCAGCCAACGTCCGTAGGCGGAGATGGGCACCCAGAAGCCTAGGGCAGTCGCATGAAACTTGATGTCTCATCAGGCTCAAGAAAGCCAATGGGAGGACATGACAGCTTGCAGAGTGCTCATATGGAGCACTAACAGTGGGAGCACTGACATCTGAAAACCTCACCAGCGCTCTGCTATTGTTCTGTGTGCTGATGGCTAAGCTCCTACGTACCAGCATCTTGATTCTCCTATGGACACCCAGAAATCTACACACTAACTACAGAGCATTTGAAATTGGAATGCTGACTACTATTTCTATAATTCCCCCCAAACTTTGCTTATGAATTTAGTGTGGTGCCTGACGGGGCGCCTGGGTGGCTCAGATGGTTAAGCATCTGCCTTTGGCTTGGGTCATGATCCCGAGGTCCTGGGATCGAGTCCCACATTGGGCTCCCTGCTCAGGAGGGAGCCTCCTTCTCCCTCTGCCTGGCGTTCCCCCTACTTGTGCACATGCGCGCACTCTCTCTCGGTGACAAATAAGTCTTTAAAAGAAAAAAAGGTTGGTGCATGTCTTGGAACAATCGGGATGGTGTCTGGGTCATACCTGCCATAATGCGTCATGATCCCGGGGGGGAAGTAGGCAGTGTAGCAGCCCCCGGAGTACTGTTCCTCGCACCAGTTCTTCTCTTCGTAATGCACCGGCTGCATTTAGTAGGGAGAGAATTCCAAAGGAAAGACAAAACCGAAACATTACCGGTCAACCATGAAGGCTCTTGTGTGTTTTACTTTAACAAAAGTTTACGTTAAAAAAAAAGATGGCCCTGTTTTTCTTTTTAAGGGGAAACAGGACCATACCAAGTAAATGGCCTTCAAGGAGGTATCAAGTGACAAAACATGTATACTTTGACTTTTTTGACCTCTTGATGAGGGAAGGCATGGAATATTCCAGCATCTAGGAGAGAGGGCACTGGCACACAGACTCTGAAATCTTTAGTCTAAGTCTACGGGAAGCCCCAGCAACAATCCAATTCTGGAAAGGCCTGCTCAAATCTCTGGATTCTCTAAACTAACAGACTTTACTTCCCCATCTGGATTCTCTAAACTAACAGACTTTACTTCCCCATCTACTACAGCTGAAAAAAAAAAGGTGGAGGGGAGGAGGCATAAGATAAGCACAACGCAGGAGTGCCGGGGAGGCTCAGTCAGTTGGGGGTCTGACTCTTGATTTCGGCTCAGGTCATGATCTTGGAGTGCTGGGATGGAGCCCCGCATCTGGTGCTGCACACAGTGCAGAGTCTGCTTGTCCTTCTCCCAATACTCCATCTATCTGCACAAACCCCTCTCTCACTATCTCTAGAATAAATAAACAAAATCTTAAAAAAAAAAAGATAAGTATAGTGTCTAAGAAAGGCTTTTTTAGGAGCCATTTCTCTGAGCTGGGAAAGTGAATGATGGGAATCCTGGTAAAACGGGGACAATTAGAGATGAATAATGGTTTCTAAGAGACAGGAGAAAACCTTCTCTGAGTTCTTCCCTAATGGAGTCTGCAAGTTTATTATTTGAACAGTTCAGAGGTAATCCCCTGAAAGAGCCCCCAGCTAGCTAATAGCAACTTCAGATAGAATTTCATTCCCATCATCCCTTTCGGTGGTGGACTGAAAGCACTGGAATCCCTACGTGAGCTGTGAATGAACTGTACAGATGGAGAAATCCATTAGTGTGGCTTTGATGTGAGACAGTCTAGATTCCGCCCATCCTGTCGAGCATACGCTGGAGTGCGCTCACCAACAAACAAGGATATATATGGGATTTTGCTTCAGAGCAGTCAGTTGGTTTTGATGGGAGGGCCGGACGTCTGTTCTGGGAACTGATCTCACCCACCCCGGAGATACCTGTAACTCCAGGCCCTGATTGCAATTGGCTGCCAGTTATCCAGGGAACACAAAAACAGCCCAAGGAACTGCTGCATCAGAAATTGCATGCACCTGTGACTAAAGTTAATCCTCCAGTAAGCATATCCTTTCATAAGATTCTCTTTGTAAGACTGTCAGGAAACCAGACTCTGCTTTGCTTCACCACGTAGAGCAAACAGAGCAGAACCTTCCAAGGATTAAAGCTGAGGGTTTCTTACTTGTAAAGCTTCTTGGGATCCTAATACTTTGGCATAGAGCTCACAGATCTTCTTCTTCCTGTAAAGAAGAATTAAAAAAATGTTAAGGAAGTAATAACTGAGTAGAGAATAAACACTGTGAGTTTACTCATTATCATTGGCTCTCGCCCATGAACCAGGTGTATTAAGGAAAACCTAAAATCAGTGGTAACTACACAACATGAACAGTTCCATGAATCTCTGCACTCGGGTCAACCCTCTATGCCTCAATACGGTCATCCGATTTGAAGATGCAACAGAATTTTCCTTCTACAGTTTTGCCTCTTTTACTACCCAATATCCTATCTATTCAAGATTCAAATGGGGAAAATAAGATTCAATGAAGTACACTCTGTATAGGAAATGATGCAAAGTCACTTTTCTGGAACACAAAGAATTCTAGAATAATCCCTTTTAGGAGTCCACAGTCCACATGACAGTGTCTTTTAACTATCCTCTACTTATGTTTTACCTGAAGCTCATTTAATCTTTTAAGTATAACATAAAATATGCCACACCATGAGAGGCCTACAGTCATTCTACTCTAGTCTTCAGGCACGTGACAGAATGGTCTACAGTACTTCCAAGGAATGTGCTACACGATGTTACCTCAGTCAGTCTTTGACTACCCTCATAATTCATTATGTAAATGACTGTCACAGCTCATGACATGTGGTAGAGCTTAAAAAAAAACCAGTAGCTCACTGATCTAAACGCTCCTTGAAACAGGTATTTTTAAACTCACAACCACTCTTGGGGAAATTAAAAAGTGCTAATTTACTAAAATCACCCCCTTTTCAAAATAAATGGTTCAGTTTCGGGATTTGTTTGAACAGGTTCACAGTGGGCCAGTTATATGCTTTGGTATTTACCTACTTTAATCCTTATATAGTTTCAGCATTGAAACTGTTCCAAAGTATTTGTTATGAGCTAATGAGCAACTGGGGGGAAAATGTGCTAAAAAATGTGGTGCAGGGTTTACCTCGAATCTGAAAGGCAAGTTCTGAAAGGTGAGGAGACAAATGGCCAAAAATGAGAAGAGGGGGCAAAGGAGGGGTGCTAAGGTTATATTTACTAGTAATAAAAGAAACAGAGGTTTTTAAAAATGACGATTTTACACTGCTGATTACATTAGAAAACATTTTTAAAACACGTTCTCCATTTCTCTGAATGATGTGAGACAAAATCTAACCTTCTAAATTTGTCCAGATGCTCACATTTAGGCCATTTATATAATTCCCACAACTTTCATTTCATGGAGATGCAGTGTTAAATCAGGAACAGGAAGTGAAATCATAAACATGGTGGCAATTAGCTAATTACAACTGTGTTCCCACGGAAGGTTTTCAGAGACAAAAGGCTACTGGTGAGGTGATGTCCTAGAACATTTAGGTAGCTCTATAAGTTTCAGTACAAACAAGAAAAGTTGGGTTTCCTTAAAGGAGCTGTTCCTACTGCAGATGAATAACCATAAAGGAAAGGCAGAACTGGAAGAAGTTTCCAGACTACTGTCCGCCTCTGTCTCTCTCTGTCCAATCCAAGCCCCTTATGTCAAAAATAAGGAGGCTGTGGCTCAATAAAAATGTACTGAATCAAAATCCATCCTCAGGATAGTATGGTAGCCTCTTTTCTACTCTATGATGAGAGGACAGATTCTTACCTACTTCAAGTGGGTGTTACAAGGGAATTCCAATATTTGAGAGTCCATCAGAAAAAAATATATGGACGATCATTATTCTAAAGGTTTAATGATGCTTAGAGCTTATTTTCGGGACATGTGATAAAATCTTTATTAAAACAGAATGAAATCTAAAATCCAGTCAACTTATCTTGCAGCTAATTTTTCATGCATGGACAACAAGCCACTTACAATAGAAATGGAAGTCATTATTTACTGTATTTTATAGTATTTTATAGTAAGTCAGGTAAGTCAAGGATGAGTTCATACAAATCCATTAGGAAGTCATCTTCCCCCCATCCCTTTGTCCCATTAAAATGTAAAAATATTTGGAAAAGTTAGGTAAATCAAAAATGTTAAGAGTGATGAAGTGATTGGTTAGTTGGGCTCTAAAAATAATAAAACATAGTTTAAATGATGGCCAAAAGAGGTCACTGTGGAAATCTCTTGTAGTTGTGTTTACTCACTGGTTTCTACATCTGGCTGCTCATCATAACCATTTAAAAAGCTTGTTAAAAGATAAAAATACTGGGGCGCCTGGGTGGCTCAGCGGGTTAAAGCCTCTGCCTTCAGCTCAGGTCATGATCTCAGGGTCCTGGGATTGGGCCCCGCATGGGGCTCTCTGCTCAAGCAGGGAGCCTGCTTCCTCCTCTTTCTCTCTGCCTGCCTCTCTGCCTACTTGTGATCTCTGTCATATAAATAAATACAAATCTTAAAAAAAAATACAAAATACTGAAGCCCCACCCTTAACCTACCAAATCATAATCTACTGGCCTCAGAAAAAAACATATTTCCCAAACATTCTCTGGCAGATGTCAACGCAGCCCGTTCTGGGAATCTTGCTCCAAAGAGTTCTAAGGGTTTTGCCTTATAAAAACTTTTGAAAAGTTCAGCCACCATGTGGAATCATAACCAAATGTCTACATCCAGGCTGGTATTTATTTTACTATTAATAAAGAGGGAAAGCAGGAAATCCAAAAGAAAATGTCAAGCTTAGTGTGGCATAATGAAAAAAAAGTTTGCGTTGGATACTATTCCTGACTTGTCACAAGCTAGCTGTGGAGACCTGGACAAACCATTCCCTGCCACTGGACCCCAAATTCTTCCTCTTTTGAGTGAGTAGATGGACAAACAGTTCCCTTCCCCAAATCAGACCGCATGGTAGCTCAAACAAATAAATTCATGCGCAAATGTGGAAACTTCGGCAGCCTGAATTCCAAAGTGATCAAAGTAACTCTCTGCTGCTTAATTGTTTAATTAAATGCAGAGAGAAGTGTACATCTGTGTGTGTCCTGGTCCTCTTCAAAAGCTAACAAAGAATTTAGGGCTACCCTCTGGGGCACACCTCCCCCGCTCCAGAAACAGCCAAATGACTGTTTCCAGGTTAAGAGTTCCTGGTAAGATTTTATCTGAACAAAGGAAAGGATTCCAAGGCAAAACAAAACAAATGCAACAAGGCAGAAAGAGAAAGGCAGAAAGGAAGAAAAAAAGCCACTGTCCTACAATGATTGTTTTATACTAGGAAGCTATCAGGAGAAGGGAACGTCAGAGCTGTGTCCTAGATAATCAAAAGGGGATACTTCTATGTACACAAGCAGCAACAGGTTGAAACCCACACGTATGGCTTTGCTCTTCGGAAAAAGTACAGGTCAAAGAACCTTGGAAAAGGGATAATGGGTCTCACAAAGCGATCAGGACTCAGCCTCTAAAGCTTTCTGCACCACTAATGTTTCCTATCGGTTTTCTCCATCTACCCTACAAGGAAACCCTACCTCTCAACCACTGTACAATAAACACAAGTATATAAACCTAAATTAATTTATGCATACAGGCAAGCCCTGAGTCAAGGGGACTTGTAACACAGAGGTTGCCATGGTGACCAAAGGTTGATTTTTGGGGATTTTTTAGACTACTTGTGAGTCGTGGAGTTTTTCAAGATGCCATTATACTGTTGTTAGTGCGACCAGTACAAGGTGAAGCTAAGCTTTCACAGGCGTTTCAGATGTCACTTCTTACCTGATTTCCTTATGGAGCTTGGCGAGTCGGTCAGCTTTTCGGGCAAGTATGAAACTGCAGAGAGAGGTTACATTTGAACAATTAGGTGACAGAAAGAGCTGCCTCCTGTTTTTTGAAATGTTCCTGTCTCCGCCCACTCAGCATTGATGAACTCTCCCACGCACTCCCATTATTTCCCTCTATGAGAGCAAATGTCAGTCTGCCTTCCACCTGCCTGTGTCCAAAATCCCTCTCGGCTGCGGGCTCCTAAGTAACTGGTCACCTCCTACTCAGTGTTTTACCCCCAGAGTTCAGCACGGCTCTTGGCATATAGTTGGAAATCAAATGTTAGTTGAATTCATGTTGCGTTAAATGATAGCTTGGTAAGTGAACTTTGCCTTCGGCCAAAAATTTGATAAAAGCTGGAAAACCAAATTGAAGTATGTAGTTGTAGTGGATGCCATCATGGGCCCCCCAGAGTCCTCTATGGGACCAAGCACTCATTACTCTGAGCTCAGCGCTGGACCCTTCCCCAGCCACTGCCTTCTGTAGAAGACGGCTGCCTGGCTCCAGGTCCCACCTCTCCCCAGAATGACCAGCTCTGGGGTGCGGTGGGTACCAAAGTCCACTCCCTCACCTCAGGTCATGATACCTATCAAGGACCATCCCAGTTCTAGAGTTCCCTGTGGGGTGGAGACCTCCGCTGGGACAACACTTGGAGCCCAACCTCTTGCTCTGCCCAATCCTGATTCCTTCTCTTCCTCACAGGCAGTGACCAGGGCACACACCCCAATGAACCCCTTGCACCCAAATCTCCATGTCCAACTTGGCTTCTGGGAAACTGGCCTAGCATCTCTCTCAAATTTAGCAACTCAGTAAAACTTGGTTATAATTAATCTTCAAATACTGATTATTACTAATTGGATGTATGTTTTAAAGAACTGAGTCATGACAAGAAGTCCTTACATACACTATTATTAGAAAGCATTCACAAATCCCAATGAGCTAAAGGACACTGAAATTATTTCTCCATTTAGAGAAAGTTTTACACTTATATTTCTTTGTTCTAGGCCAAAAAGACAAGTAGATCAGGACTGAGAATGCAAGAGCCGAACACAGATATTTCATCCTCTCCCTCACACCCAAATTAAACTGTTCCTCAGTTTGACCGGCAATTCCTTTAGAGCCGTCTGTTACTTGAGATCATTCTGGAGAGCAAGGATTACACAATGAATTTGCGTTAACCCAGAGAACAGTATTTCGGAGGAATCTGTGGACAACCTAAGGAATTTGAACTAATCAACTCTATGGGATAGAGTCATAATTTTGTTTAAGACTATTACGTAATGATTCTGGTTAAATTTTAAGTTTATGCAAGAATCTGTCATTTTGAGTCTTACACAGGACTTCAGTGAAAATCACCAATATCGGATAAAACATTAAATGATTTCGATCTTGGGTGCTTCTTACAGCTCCTTCTCTAAAGGGCAGTTCGTGGTGCCCATTCCTGCCAAATCTCAAAATGTTTTGAGATAACAACAACCCCTTTGACCCACCTCTAACTACACACAACTATTCTTCAACTTGCTCTGGGGTTTTATTGAGGAAATGAAACCTGCTGCTTTGGGTTGGGGACATTTCGTGACTCTAAAGTACACGGTCCTCTGTAGTTGCCAGTCATCACAATCACAGCCTGGACGATTACCACCCCTGTCCTCAAGGCTTTCCTTGCCCAGAGCAAAGAGTAGGGTGGAGACCAGGCAGTGCGCAGGCAAGAGCAGGGCGTAGGCAACGGTCCAGATAAAACAGATTAGAATATCACTTTTTAGGAACTGCCTAGATAACCCCATTCCCATCTGGAAAACTTGTGCCAAGCGTATCCTGGCTAATAAAGTAGAAGAAAGCCCAGAAAGGCAGATGCTACAACATCTAACTTCTGGGGCAAGAAGACCATCAGTGCCCTTCCAGCCACAGCTGGGTTGGTCTTGATGGTCTCCTGAGACCCCTATGTCCACTTTCTGTTTTCCTCTAGCACACAGAAGGTGATAGCAAACGGCCCCCACAATCTCTATCCTTTTTTGCCCAGTGGGGTTAGAGATGGAGAGGACGTGCTGGTCCTCAGTTCATTGTGCTGTGAGCACCGCCCTTCCCAGGGAGGCTGGGGCTCGTTCTGATGGTCTGCAGACACAGACATGCTTACAGAACGACTCGTGGGCAGTCCGGTAGAGCGGCCTGCTAAGTCCCGGGTCATGGGTTGGCCTCTGGTTTTGTAATTTCCCCTCGATGATGCAATGTGCATGAGCTCGACTCTCCCCAGGGGGAAGGGGAAAACCGCCGTTGTCTGGAAGCCACTTGGCTCTTACAGAACCCTGCTGTTCTGCTGTCCTGTGGGAGAATAAACAGCTCTTTTCTTTGTGGAGCTTTGAGAAAAGGTCCAAGGCAGGGCACTTGGGAAGGCAGAGGCGCTCCTTAGCCACTCCTTTGTGAAAGCACTGTTTGTTGTCTGGACCTCTAGGCCCCCAACAGCAGAGGAGCTGCGGGCGGTGGGGGCTGGGAGGACAAGGGGAGAGCTCTCCTCTTCCGGACACAGAACCAAATCCTGGACCATCTCTAGCGAAGGACAGCTGGGCAGGACCTATCACAATGAGGGACATCCACTCGAGGCCTGGCTATACCTCCAACTGCACCTCCTCACTGGTCATCGGTCTCATATCCCTGGGTAACAATTAATGTATTCACACTAGTGGTGTAGTGATGTCTGGAATGGAGAAGAGCCGACGGTCCAGAAACCCTAACTCTGAAAGGCTTTACAGAATAAAACAGTCAATTCTCATTCTAGATGAGTGTGGACATTCTGGCCCTGGGCAGGGTTGTCTACCCTACTGCCTGTCTCGCTGCTTCCTTCACTCTGTCCTCAAGAGTTGCATGGGGGAAAGAAAGAAAGAGGCACAAGTTTAAATAGTGTCAGTTTTTGTAAAGTTTTCCAGAGTTCCGTGCCACATACCAAACATTAATATTTTAAAGTAGGGAAAAAGATATATTCCTATAGGGTTATTTATAATTGCTGGAGCTCGAGTCCATAAGCTCTGCCAGCATCCACACCAAGACGCCCACACAATTTAGGAAATGCGAAGCACCCAGCTCTAACCTACCCCATGATAGCGGGCAGCGATCCATCTGGTTTGGTGTCGTCCAGGGTTATTGAAATTGGAGCTTCCTCATCCTCAATGATCATACAACCACAGTAATCTTAATAAGGAAAAAATCAAGAGAAGATTGACATGGACCTCATCGAAGATTTAGGGAAAAAATTATAGATATATAGAGAGATATATACACACACAGATAGACACACACACATACACTGTATAAAACTCTTTTGCTAAGAGGAAGGCAAATCTCAAATAGTCTTTGCCCCAACCCTAGAAGATATTTCCTTATTAAATACATTAACTACACAAAGATGTCTGCTAACGCAGACATGTGGAAAATGACCTATCTTGATGACCTCTACATAAATGTCATGTAGGACCAATGCATGGCTCACACCGTACTGAGGGCCCGGAGCCTTGCAGCACATAAGGAAAGAAGCTTGTGTCGGAGGGAATCACCCAGAGGAGCCCACGGAAGAAGCGGGGGAAGGAATCCTTTGAGGACCAGGTTTACCAACAAGAGCCGCCATATCCACTCAGGCCCTGCCTCAGCTAGTTGGTGCACACATCCTGACAGTAGGTCTCACTATCACTACTTGAGGTAAGGAGACTGATGCTGAGTGGTGAAGTGTCACAGCCAAGGCCACTCAGCTAGTAAGCAAGTGAAGCCCAGGATGGTGGGACTTCAAAGCAGGACTCTTCCCCCAGCACTCCTTTGCGTCACTCTCTCATTTAGAGAAAGGGGCAGGACGTATGCCAGGAACCAGGGCCATGGTGCCCCTGCCGCTTGGTGGAATCTCTTCTTTCCCTTTCATTGACAGCAAGGGCTCTTGGGGTCCTTCTGTGTCGCACCAGGGGTTGTAAAGTGATGGACAGACTGAGATTTCTGATCCTTTCTCTACCAATTTAAAAATACTTATCTCTGTCATCTTTTTTCCTGGTCAGGGTCTACCAGAACGTCCCTAAAGAGAGTGTGGTCCCTTCACTTAACACAATTTAAACATGAGCAGGTGCAGCCTACCCTTCTTCTTCCAAAAGGCCTCCTTGTAATACATCATGCACTTAATGATGGCTCCCATCGGAAGACGTTGGATTAATTGGTTTCTCTCCGATGGAAGTTCAGGTCTAAAGTGGATCTTGGCAGTCAAAGTTGGCGGGATGGCACTAATTACGTATCCACACTAAAAGACACAGACACAGAATACCACCTCAAACGTGTGAGCCTCAGTCTTTACAGAGGGGAAGAAACACCATATTTATCATTTAGAATGACACCGAGCGGTAACCACATATAGAATGAGGCCCCTGTGAGGCAGCACAACAGAACAAGGCAGGTCAACTAAAAATGGTAATTTAGAAGACAGAGTTGGGGTCATACCAGCATTAATTACACCACTGCTTGGATGGTATTTAGTTGGAAGCTGTGGAAGACACAAGGCCTATTTAATATATATTCCTTGGGACTAGGCTGAATTACCTCGTAAGTTTCATGATTCAGCGTCTCGATGATGATGTTGTCACCTGACTGGTCCACATAGGTGACAGGGCACCTCAGCTTCACTCTGTCCCCGAGGCGTTCCATTATCCGTTCACTCACTTGACCTGATCCACCCACAAATTTCCGTTCCTATAGAAGGCAGGCAGGCAATGAGGACTATAAACATCAAAATATTGATCACAATAGCTTAGAAAGTAAAATACAGGTCAAAAGAAGAAATGTGGAATTTCTAAGTATAAAGCTAATTCAAAGATGCAACTGTCCTACATTTGCTAAAGATAAGGGTCAAATGGCTAATATCTCTTAGGGTCACAAGAACAACTTAGGGTGTTCCAAAGATCTTCTGAGGAGAGAAAATACTCACTTGGTGGAGAAAGATACTACACCTTGCACTATGGAATAGAGCCTGTCTGGAACATAGATGACTTTAAGTACCAGTTCTAGAAGTTTCTGAAAATCAGTTGATCGTAGTAACTCAGCTTCTCCCACAAAGCTAGACTAATTTTACCCACCTCCCCCGCCCCCAAAAGGATGGACCCGAATTCCCAAAAACAAATTAGTTCAAAACAAAACATTCTTAAGCTGTGAATGCATCTCCAGGAACGAGAAAAGGAAAGGAGAACTTTTGGTTTTGGGCACTTTCATTGAAATGTTTTCAAAAATTCGTGTCTCAGATCCACTCACGTTTCCAGACACGGGAGCGGCTATTAAGATGGCGCACTGGGTGAGGGCAGAACCACAAATGAATTTACAGGCTGAGAACAGACACTCCGTACCTGGCCCCCGTTGGTGACTGAGAATATCCGAGTAGTGCCTCCGCACTGCTTCACGTACCACAAGAACCACAGCGCAGACACCTCGTAGGGCTCAGAGGTCACATTGATGTTCACAAAGAGCGATGCAAACTGCCTAGCAGTCCTGGTCACATGACAAAGGTGACAGTCAGGTGTAAATACATACATGCTTCATGGGATAGGAGCTTTTTTTTTTTTTAACGACTTTATTTGAGAGAGAGAGAGAGAGGACCCTGGGATCATGACCTGAGACGAAGGCAGATGCTTAACCTCCTGAGCCACCCGGGTGCCCCAAGAGAAGAGCAGCTTTTCAAAACACAATTCAGTATGGTTCAAAAGCATTTGCACTGTTTTAGGGAAAACAAAACAAAACACTTCAGGGTCTCAACTTCTGAAGGAATGCATATTTTAACTCCTGGTGAAAAATAACCTTTTCCTTTGTTTTGAGGGAGTTATGGGTTTGCTCCAAATATATTAATTCTGGTACTGTCTAAAAGGGTCAAGATGCTGGTGAGAGATCGTTAAGGATACAGTTCTCATTTATTCGAACAACCGTCCTCTCTTCACCTGAGCGGCTCCCACCTTACTCCAGTCCACCCACATCCCTCACCTGGGTCACAACAGTGGTGGCTTCCTCCTGGCCATCTCTACCTGGTTTATGACTACAGCCCCTTTTGGCCCTTTGCCACATTGAAGCCAATGAAGTCTTTTGACAGTGCAAAACAAAATGAAAAAACCCCACTCGCAGAAAACCCTTCAATGGCATTCATGGCAAAAGGCAAAAATCCTGAATGTGGCCACTCTATCTTCCACCACAAGCCCCCTCTCTGACCTCTAATTACACTGCTTTCTCGTGGCATCCTTAGTGTCTAGGCATACTGTCACAGCATGACAAAAACATGTCAATCTCCCCACCTTGGGGCCTTTAAAAGCTGTTTCCTGTTTTCTCTACATGGAAAATGGCATCCCCCACACCATCCACCCTTCATATTTCGCAGCATTCACGGTGGCTCATTCCTGGAACATACCGTGCTGTAACACCATGCTTATTCCTGTCTCCTATCTACTGTCGCTGTAGCTCATTGCCAGAAAAGACCACCACTACACTATGTATCCTTCCTATAGCTCCCCCTACCACCACATACCTGAGGCACTGTGGTTCCTTCCTGGAAGATACCATCCCACCAAACCACATATCCTTACTGTCTCCCCCCAGACACTGTGGTTCATTCCTGGAAGATACTATTCTCCTACACTGTCTGCCCTCCCCCATCTATCCTCACCTATGTAGCTCATTTGTGGAAGCAACCTTCCCCACATACCAACCACACCTCTAGTCTCCTCCCATTCCACTATGGTTCATTCCTGGAACATACCATCTTCTCATACCATCCAAATTTCCTGCCTCCCCCATCCATAGTGGCTCATTTCTAGAAGAAACCATCTCACCACACTATCCACTCATCCTCTTCCCTGCCATCCATTATTGTTTATTTCTGAAACATATCATCCCTCAACACCATCCACCCTTCCTGTCTCTCCTACCCACTGACGCTCATTTCTGGAAGATACCATGCTCCCACATGATCTACCCTTCTTGTCAACCCCCCAACCACGGTCACTGTAGCTCATTCCTGGGTGATTCCATTTCCTCTTCCTCTTCCTCTCTCCTCTCAATCCACCAAGGCTCATTCCTGGTAGATACCATTCTCCCATACCATCCAGCTTTCCCATCTTCCCCATTTACTGTGGCTCATTCCTGGAAGATATCACTGCCCCCCGCCGCCTGCCCGCACACATACATACCCCTTTCCTATCTACCTCTGTGGATTACGGCTCATTCCTGGAAGGTAACATGCCTCACCACATCCATCTTTGCTGACTTCCCCTGTTCATGTGGTTCATTCCTGATGGATAACATCCACCCTCACTACCCAGTTTTCCGGTCTCCACCCATCTATATGGTTCATTCTTAGAAGATACCAATCCAACCTCCATGTCTCCCCTATAACCTGTGGGAAAATATCATCCCCTCAGCCACCATCAACCATCCTGCCCTCCCCCATACACTGTGGCTCATTCCTGGAAGATACCATCCCCCAACCTCCATCTTCCCTCAGGTCTCCCACATCCACTGTGTTGTTTCCAGGTTGTCACCACATCATCCAGTCTCCCAGTGTCCCTCTCCCACCTCCTCCATCACTACTGTTCCTTCCTGGAAGATAAATTTCCCTTCCAGCCATCCACCCTTCCTCTGTCCTCCTACAGTGGTTCATTCCTAGAAGATACCATCCCCTCAACCCTCAACTATTTCTATCCTTCCTATATCCCCCCCACCAACTGTTGCATCCCTGGAAGATACTATCTACCTCATCAACCATCCTTTCAGTCTCACCAGTCAACTGGCTCATTTCTGGAAGATATCATTCCTCCCACACTATATATCCTTCCTGTCTCTCCTATATACTGAGGCTCATTCCTGGAAGATAACTTGCTTCCACTTCATTTACCCTTTCTGACTCCCCCCACCCATAGTCATTGTAGCTCATTCCTCGATGATACCATCTTTTCATACCATCCTCTCTTCCCTACCTCTCCCAATCCACTATGGTTCATTCCTGGAAAATACCACCCCCTTAACACCATCCACTCTTCCTGTTTACCTCCATAGACAATGGCTATTCCTGGAAGATGCTGTCCCACCATCCATCCATCCATCCATCCATCCTGTCTTCTTCCCCCACCGACCATTTGCCATGGCCTATTCCTGGAAGAATACCATCCTCCCACACCATCCTCTCTTCTTCCCCCACACCATCTATCCTTCCTTTCTTCCCCATCCATGTGGCTCTTTCCTAGAAGTTACCATTGCCTCACACCATCCAGCCTTCCTATTTCCCCATCCACTATGGTTCATCCTTAGGAAAGCCCATCCTCCGACACCATCCTTTCTTCCTTTGTCCCTATCCATTTGGCTCCTACCTGGAAGATACCATCACCCCACATGATTCAGCTTTCCTATCTCCCACCCCCCAATCCAAGTGGCTCATTCCTGGAAGATACCATCCTCTCACACATTCCACTCTTTTTGTCTCCCCCACCAAATGGCTCATTCCTGGAAGATACTATTCCCCCACACCATCAACCTTTCCTGTCTCCCTCCATGGATTAAACTCACTCATGGAAGATACCATCCCACCAAACATCCATTCTTGTCTCCCCAAGTCCATCATGTTTCATACCTAGAAGATACCATCCCCTCACATATTTCATTCTTATTCTTTCCCCCATCAATTGGGTCATTCTTGGAAGATACCCACCATAGCCACTGCCACCACCACCACCACCACCACCACCACCACCACCACCACCCCGCTGCCAACACAAACACCATCCAGCCTTTTTATCTACTGGCATACACTATAACTCATTCATGGATGATACCATCTGCATACACCAACCAATTGTCACTTCTTCCCCTTCCACTGGGGCTTATTCTTTGAAGATACCATTTCCCCACACCATCCACCCTTTGTCTCTCCTCATCTGCTATGGCTCACTCCTGAAACATGTCATCTCCATACTATCTACCCATCTGGTCTCCCCCCATCCACTGTGGCACATTCCTTGTAGATTTCATATTCCCACATCATCCTCCCTTCCTGTCTATCCCTAAATACTGTGCCTCATTTCTGGAAGACACTCCCTTCCACACCATCCATCTTTCCTCTCTCTCTCCCTCAACCACTTTGTGGCATTCCTGGAAGATGCCTTGTCCCTCACACCATCCACCCTTTCCTATCTCCTCCCATCCTCTGTCACTGATTTTTAGTGGATGCACTTAGCACCTAGTTTATGTTTAAAGATGGCTGCATCCAGAAATCTCTTCCTTAACCTCAGATCAAGATCCTTGTTTGTCACTCTAGTAGCATTATGGAATTATGTGCATAATGTCAGTCTTTCCTGCTAGAAAAATACTAACTCCATGAGTTTAGGGGCCATGCCTAACACATTCACCACAATTCCTCACTGATAGCTACAGTGCCTTCACATAGCAGCCCCTGAATGCTGACTAAACAGTCTGTAAGTAACTCAACTCATTACACATGTTTTCATTGAAAACATTATAAAACTTAGATTTTTTATTAATAAAGACTAGCTTGCCTTCCGTTCCATGTTTTTCTATATCTGTAGGGAACGACTTTAATATCTTTCCAAATTGCTTCTGCAGCTGACTACTGTATAATTTGAATACACAATTACTTGTTTTATTGCAAAATTACACAGCCCTTTCATTAAACGAATTCTACTTCATTTGCCTCCTCTTTTCTTTGTTTTAGATTCATTTTATGTTCAAACCCATTCAGCAGTGTCTAAAGTTCCTTCAAAGATGCCACTGACCGAAAGATCATTAGGTTTCCTCTTAACTTTTTTCCTACAACCTATTAAGAAAAACACTGCAGGGGCCCTGGCTGGTTCAGTCGGTGAAGCATGCGACTCTTGATCCTGGGATTGTGGGTTCAAGCCCCATTAGGGTGTAGAGATTACTTTAAAAATAAAATCTTAAAAAAAAAGAAAAGGAAAACAGTACAGTTCAAGATAGGACAAAAAGGATCCAAAGGAAAGATGAAAGGTAAACTTTAAATAGTCAAGGTTATTTTATCCAAACCATAAGAGACTCTTAATCTCACAAAACAAAACGAGGGTTGCTGGGGGGTAGAGGGGTAGTGATAGCGTGGCTGGGTTATGGACATTGGGGAGGGTATGTGCTATGGTGAGTGCTATGAAATGTGTAAGCCTGATGATTCATAGAACTGTACCCCTGGGGCAAATAATACATTATATGTTAATAAAAATAATTTTTTAAAAAAGATTACTTTGTCCAGCAGATTTTATCGATGAGATCTTTCATGGTCATCTTGTCCCACTCTTCAGCATGTGGGGCCTCCCACGGTGCATCCGCTGGAATCTGCAGAGGAAGGAGGGCCCACATTCAGGGGTGATGGTTACTGCCCACTGCCCTGCCAACAGGCCTTCAGGAGAACCTCTGAAAACCAGTCTCTGGGTGTGTGTTGGGATGTGTGATTGGCACAGATAGTGGTGGGGTTGGGATGGACAGGTCTCTGCATTCTACGCCTTAATGCTGTTGCCATAATAATGATGATGGTGATGCAAAAAGGGGGGATTACATATAAATGTATATATAAAAATGAATATGTAATTATGATAATGATCCTTATTATTGAATGCCAACACCCATTTTAAGTGTGAGAGAGTGATCTTATGGAGCCTAGGCCTAAGTAAAAAAAACTCGGGGGGGATAAATCCCTTTTTCCTTTACTATCTAAAGTGGAATCACACATGGATAAGGAAACTATGAATAGGGTAACAGGCAAACACAAGTGACACAAATTCTCAGTGCCATAGAGTTGAAAACACACAGGCATTACAGTCAGAGAGATGTGGGTTTGAATCCTGGTTCCCTTGCGGTGTGGTGTTGGGGAAATTACCATAGTCCCTCAGCACTCATTTTCCTTCCAAGTGGAAATACTACCAACTTGGCAGAGCAGTTGGGCGTGTTGGAAATGACATATATGAATGTCCGGAGCAACGTTCCCTGCACCACTGGAAGGATCTTAAGGTCCTGTGTAAGCCGAACACACATTTTACCTCCTTTCCCATGTTATCCATTGTCCTCCACAAATTGTTGTAATCCAAATAGGCAATGGGATTCCATACCGGTGGAAAGGCCCCCCGAAATGGATAAGTTCTCCCCTACAACATAAAAGCAAAGGATAATACGTTAAATTAGGATGGCATTCTAAATAACAAAAGCCAGCCAACATAAGAGGCATTTTCAAACAGTATGCTCTCCTATTGCAAAAGCATCACCTTTGATGGGAAGTAAATACATTTTATCTATATACGCCCCAAATTTCAATTAGATTAGCAAAATGCCCCAGGTGTTGTGCTACCTGCTTTTAATTTACAGGAAATAATAGCTGTGAACTTACTTGTACTTATATAGAGAATATAAATATAGGTAGCTCATCCTAATATCTAACGCTGATGCCACAATATTCTCAACCCTTGAGCTCCTAGCTAGCTAATCTTTTTGCAGGGATGCTCCCACTCAGATGAGAGCAGGACGGTGACACGGAAGACTGTTCTTGGACCACACAGAAGACTGGAACAAAAAAGCAGAATATCTCGGACTGAGTTTTAGGGTTCACATGGGCTAAATAAAGACTGGCTAAACTACTGGCTATGCCTGAAGTCAAGAATCAAAATATGGGGGGACCCTGGGTAGCTCAGTGGGTTGGGCCTCTGCCTTCAACTCGGGTCATGATCTCTGGGTTCTGGATCGAGCCTGCTTTGGGCTCTCTGCTCAGCGAGGAGCCTGCTGCTCTGCCTACTTGTGATCTTTCTCTCTCTGTCACATGAATAAATAAAGTCTTTAAAAAAAAAAAGAATCAAAAGACAGGAAACAGAATAATGGGCATTTGACATTTTTTTCGCTGCCCAGCATCCATGTTCCTCCCCGAGTATTATCCTGGTTCCTTTTTGGGAAACTATCTCTCCTCTGTGGGTAGATGTGTAGGGAGGATGATCCTGGATATCATCTCCCATTACAGCACGTGATGGGCTAGATCTTTCTCCACCCCCTCTGGCTACTGGTGCAGCTGGGGTGTGAGCCTGTCAGCTAAGCTTGGCCAATCACACACACTCTCTGACCCTGGAATGAGTCACCCAACAACAGATGAAAGCTAACTCTGGGTTCTCCTTCCCCAAGGCAGCATGCTGCACACATGCTTCCTGCTCTAAGGGCAGGAACCACCTTTAACTTGCCAGAACTCCCCTGTACTCTGCCTATTCCTAAATGTGGCCCTCCAGCCTCTTGTTGGTTCTGTAGGCTCTCTGATATCCTTTCACTAGATCCCCCTCTTGTTAGCCGGAAATGGCTTCCTTAAACAAGGAAATGGCTTTCTATTGGCTGGTACCAGAACATAAAGACAGCTAATTATTTGCCACCATTGACTTCATTTCCATTGTGTGACAAGTCCTGTGCTATGCAAACATCGGGGTGAGGTGAGAGTGAACCCTGGGGAAGAGATACCAGGTCTGGGTATTTTCTAAGGTTTCACTCCTAATTCATTTCCTCTAAAAATAAAACATTCATAAGATTTAAATATTTTCTACTAATTCAATTTTGCTTGAGATTTGTATTTTTTAATCAAAGAAAAACATAATACTGTCAGAAAGCCTACTGTGCGTATTGCACAGTATTAAAAACTGTTTTGAATTAAGAAGGTGGGGGAGGGGAACTAAAGCAAAACTCCTAACCATCATGACAGGGACACAAGACCCAAGAGCATTTGCATTCATGTGCACACACACACGCATGCGTGCACACACGCACTCTTCAACTGAGTAACGGTACACGGCAGCCATTAAGTGACAAGTAATTTTGCCTGCCACGGTAGCAACTTCAAATAACCCTGGCAGATTATGTGATCTGATTTCTTATCTGAAAAAATGCCATGTTTGTAATGCTGCAACACAACTCTCCGAGACTCCAAACCTTTATCATCACCACCACTATCGCCACCATTATTACTAACATTTATTGCAATCTTTCTCCACGCCTGGCCCTGGCTAAGCTCTTCATATGCATTATCTCACCCCAACCCTGTGGAGGCAAGCACGATTAATATTTCCATCTTATAAATGAGGAAACTAAAGCCCAGGGATATTAGCTGGAAAACAGTAGAATAGAAATTTCCTGTTCCCAAAGCCTTTGCTCGTAAACATTAAGCTTTCTGGCCTTCCTATAGGGTTGACAGAATGTGGGGATAGGTCTGTTCTAGAGACATATTAACCCTCCCAAGTGGATGAAGGAGTGTTTGGAAATGTGAAAACTTAGAAATTTCCCACACCATCTTTTATGTTTCTAAGGAATAAAAATGGAGACAAAGAAGCTCTGGGGTATAAGCTGACTGTTGAGGAGACAGCATCAAACCTGGGAAATGAGGAAGCACGTCTGGAGAAAAACAGGCAGACATTTTACCCAGAATGCTATGCTAGCTACAGAGAGGAGGCTGACGGTTAACAGCTCATGGGCAGCCTTCAGAACAGCGAGTTGTCATTACAGTTCTTTCCTTAGTTGAAATCGGGGAAAATCTACATTTTCCTCTGTAAAATGTATTTATACTCAAGGAATAGTCTCATAAAAAACTGATCTTTGCTTTGAAAAGAAATACTTTTTTTTTATAAAAACAAACATGCTCAATCATCTGGGGACATTAAGAAAAGTATAAATATAATTCAACAAAATGTGTCCCACATTCCTAATAAAGTTCTTCTCAGGATGATGCCAACCAGAGTCTCATTTCACACACGGCCTAAAGGCCCCATGATCTGAGCCTTGATTAAAAAAAAAAAAAAAGAGGTGGCAGGAGAAGTAAAGAATCCAAGAAGAGAGGAGAGTCCAGTCTGGCAATCTTTTTAGAAATGGGAGCCATGGAAACACTAAAAGAAGATCATAAAGGCCGGCCAACTACAACATTAATTTCTATCCCGTTGACAGAGGCACCAAGTTGAAAAAGGGATTTGACTTATTAGTTTCACTCTTCATGCCTGGCTTCTCTGCTCTTATTCCATAGAAAACCTAACAGTGGGACATCTGGGTGGTGCAGTCGGTTAAGTGTCTGAGCTTGGTTTCGGCTCAGGTTGTGATCTCAGGATTGTGAGATCGAATCAAATCGAGCTCTGCACTTGGCATGGGGTCTGCTTGAGATTCTCTCTCCCTCTGCACCTTTCGCTCATGCTCTCTCTCTCTCTAAAATGAATAAATAAATCTTTAAAAAAAAAAAAAGAAAAGAAAACCTGTTTGCTAAAGAAATGCATATATGTGGGAATAGACTCCTACACGTTACCTCTTCCTTTCTCTGAAACCCCTGAAAGGCTTATTTCCTCCACGGCCTGCTTCTAAACTAGACAACTCAAGACAACTTTTTCTCTTTGGAATCCCTAAAGCGGTTCAGTGGTAGGGCCTGGAGCTGTCTCTTGATGGAGTAAGAACAGCCTGCCAACCGGACCTTCTCAAGCTCGTAAATGTGACCATACCGTTTTCTCCCAAAGGCGCTCGTACTTTCTCAGTATTTCCAAATACTTCCAAATATTTCTAAGTGGTTACTGCTCTTAGAAAATAAAAGGAAAAAAAAATCTTGAGTAAAGGTCAAGTTCGTTTTGTACCTATACTCTGGAGCCTTCCAACCCTTCCAAAGTGGCCTTTAATCTCTAAAGCACAGTGTCTCCGAGTTGAGGTCAAGCAGAACACAATGTCCCTGGAACTGTGCCCTAAATACTTAAACCCCTTTGAGAAACCACATCCTCAATGTACCGATTTTCCTAATAAGAAGAGACTATTGCTAGGAGATGGCGATTTACGATTCCCACATAATTCTTTATTGTTGGTCTTACAAAATAAACCAAGTTTAGAGTAAGCGAGTAACATTTAGTGATTGGCGTGTTGGAGAGTTTCGGCTCTTTGTACTTTTAGTTAAACAAAAGGAAGTGGGTGTTATTAAAGAACATCACAGCCCCCGAGGAAGGCTTCCAAGCAGTTTTTTTAATTATCTTGAAAATAAACAGCTATGGGCTAGACTGGTTGAGGAACAAGTCTGCCCAACTCAAATGAATTCCTTGGCATTCTCCTTGTCCCACTGTTTTGACAAGCCTATAAAAGACATCTTTGGATGGTTTCTTTTCTACAGTATTTAATAATGCTTTAACTAAAGAAATCATCTAAAAAGGCATTAAATAGGATGGCAGTACTGCATTGTACTCATAGTTTAAAAAAATCGTTTTCTTCCTCTTTCCAAATGCAGGTAGCCAAGATCTCTTCAAACCTACATCAATCTACTCGACCAAAAACAAGCCATCCTAATATGGAAACATCTATCCCATGGTACTGCGCTGCTTGTTTCAAGTCTCCAACTAGTGTCCATCCTTCTTTGCAAAACCCTCCCATCCTCCATCCACTGCCTCCCGACGGTCTGATCCTCAGCCTTTTCCGCCCCCCCTTTCCCCGCAGAACTCAGCCAACGTCTGGGTTTGTCCTTTGATTTGCACAGTGTTACAGTGTACATCTTTCGAGCCTCTGCTCCCTCGATGTTGAAGAGAACTTCCAAACCGTAACGTACAACTTCTCACACAACTTCCAAGGGCTGGCAGCACATTCCCGGGTGTTTGCTCATAACCTGATACTTCATCTTATTCTCAGTCTCTCTCTCGGGACTTGGAATGGCTACGAGGCCGTGTGGCAGCCCATGAGTTGTGCGGTCCCGTCTTGGGGAACAAGACAACTGAAAAGCTCAGGTACAAATGATGGCACAGAATTAAGAACAAAAGGTTTCAAATGAAGCTATGCTGCCTTTCCCAAGGAACTCCAGTTCTATACAGAAATTACAAACAAAGCAATTAAGGGATGCCCGGGTGGCTCAGCCGGCTAAGCGTCTGCCTTCAGCTCAGGTCATGATCCCACAGTCCTGGGATCGAGCCCCGCATCCTGCTCCCTGCTCAGTGGTGGAGTCTGCTTTTCCCTCTGCCTGCTGCTTCCCCTGTTTGTGTGAGCACTTGTTCTCACTTTTACTCTCTCACAAATAAATAAAATCTAAAAAACAAAAACAGAACAATTAAGATAGCAACAATATGACCTCTTCTGGAGGCTCTTGGGTAAGTAAAGATAATTGATAGAGCTTTTTCCTCTTTCA